ATGGTTTTGCATAGATTGGTGGAAATACACTGATTATTTGAAATAGAGGCTGATCCAAGGAATCTTCCTTATAAAAACAATCCTAAATGCATCCTGATCCCCGTGGCTATGACTGTTTTAGGGATAGGATGGAGGCTCTTAATCTGTTACAGTTTTGTTCTTTTTTTCTTTCTTTCCTTTTTTCTTTCTCTTAGGATGGAGGCTCGTAATCTCGCTGTTACAGGTTTGTTCCTTCCCCTTTCCCCTTTCCTTTCCTGTTTCCCCCTTGCTCCTTTCCCCCTTCCCCCTTCTTCCCCCTTCCCCTTCCCCTTTCCTTTCCATCTCCCCCACCCCCACACTCTTTAAAACACAAAGGAAAAATTAAAATACTGTTTCTCTGTTGATTATGATTATAAAGTGATACAAATGGAGATAACGTAGATGGGAGAATTCTTTTGATATAGATAAGAGAGATTATTTCTGTTAGGAAATGTAGTCCCCATTGCACAATTAACAGAAAATCTCCTAAAAGGCTAAAGGAAACTTGTGATATGTCAAGAACACATCATAGACTGTCCTTTTGTCTTAGATGGCATCATCTGAGGACACGATGCTCAGTTACTGAGGCTGTGTGAAAACACCTTCTCTCTAGAAAATCCACATGCAAGATTGAAAAGCCAATTATGACTTTACAGATAATTACAATTAAAGTAATTGCGAAGTGAAGAAATGACAGGTTTGCAAGCATGTACCAACCACTTGTTGCTATTGTTTAATGTTATGAATACTGGTCTTTTGCTGGCATTTGGCCCTTTGCAGATTTAGGCAGTGTTAAACTAAACGTGTACAAATTACCTTTGGTGTTTAAAACCTTAGATCCTTGAATGAAAAATCACTGCTACCTTCCCAATTAGTAGTGTATTGAAGACAGAAGGGATCCCTAAAATTGATGATAGGAAAACATGCTCTGTGCAATGAAAAAAAAAGCATTTGGAGAAACAATGTCAAAAGGAAGAACCGTAGATACCCAGTACTTCCCCCTGTACACCACTAGAAGTAAGCCATTTCAAACATTCTCAATGGTCTGTGGCTTTAGTTTTCATAGGATATTAAATTAAATATTTCTTACCATTTGTATCATTATAATCATGCTCATAATGATGCAATTGTCACAGCCTATTTACCTGCAGTATACTTTCTGGGATAAAGGTGAATCTATCCAGACTTAATGAACAGGCCTAAGACTAGGGGGTGGCCAAAAACTCAGTAATCAGGATAAATGTATTTTAATACAATATTGTAATAAGTCAGATTAATACCCCCAATCCATGATATCAAAATTTAAAATAAAATAGGATCTGAGAAGGTTGGGATGAGGGTGACAGGAGTGAGGGAGCCATCCCAGTCTGCCAATGAGATGAGATGAGGCGAACTGCCGTGTCTTCCAGGGGTCGCAGGTTGGATGGAAACCCCCCAGTGGCATGCTCATACTGGGAGACTGGCTCATTTCTTGTTTGTGCTTTTCCCATACATGCCATCTGTAGGTTCCTTGCTGATGAAATCACAGCACAAAATGGTCTGGGGACCAGTGTACACAAAACCACATAACTTCGTCAGACAGAAATCCACTCAAGACAGCTTTAACTTTGCAACTTTTTTGGTCATGCTATTTTGAAATTATTTTAAAGTGCTCACTATGTACATATTTACAAAGCAATGACTTTCATATTTAATTAGACACAACTTTGGGTACTTGACATGTACAACAAGATTTTGTGGCGAATCAAAGTATACATAGTCATGCTTTTAAATAACTGTGGAATCAAAATGTGTGCAATATAAAATTTTAAAAATTACATGAATAAGCCCATTCTGTGGAAATAAGATTTCAGAATCAATTGGAATTAATGTATTCTGAGCCTTCATTTTAAACACATGGCATAAAACTGAATTCTTAAAAATTCAATTATTATAATGTGCCCTCTAAAGATTGAAGAGAAACACTATCTTTTCTAAAATGTTCACTTGAATAATTATAATTTTTTAAAAAATACAGAACGTTGGAGGGAAACGTGCAAGGAAGGAAATGAAAATCACCCAAAGACTACCATCTAGAGATAGAATGTTAATATTCAGCAAAATGTTTTCCTATCATTTTCCTAATGGTGACATATTCAAAGTAGCCTTAACTTAGTTTCTAAAATAGCAACAGAAAGTTTCAGGCCTGAGGCCACCTCTCTAATTGTGTATTTATAATATAATAAATTTTACCTTATATTTGAAGTGCTTTACAGTTCAGATTGCTTTCCATAAACCACCTTGTGGAGCATCTTTCTTTGCCCGAGCCCTGGGAGGGAGCTTTAGATGCGCTATCTGAACACAGGGTGGTGGCGAGACCTTGGTCCTTAAACTTACATTCTTTTTTGGAGTCTTTCCTCAGCAATACAGCCAGTATATAACTCCACAGTGAGTAATAGAATCCCCACTTGCAAATTTGAAAATATGATATTCCTTGGAGGGAACTAGATAATCATAAATATCACCAAAATTAATGCCAGAAGAGGAACACAAGATGATTTTTTAAAGATTTTATTTTTTTTTTTATTCATGAGAGACAAAGAGAGAGAGAGAGAGAGAGGCAGAGGGAGAAGCAGGTTCCCAAGGAGCAGGGAGCCCGATGCGGGACTCGATCCCAGGACTCCGGGATCATGACCTGAGCCGAAGGCAGACGCTTAACCATCTGAGCCACCCAGGCGCCCCACAAGATGATTTTTTAAATGAGTTATTTATTACCACAACAAGAAAGACTCTGGATACAAACAAATGAGTTGCTTGCTAATATGACTGCTCCAGTTGTTACCTAAGGCTAGGCCAAGAAAGGACAAATACCTATTCAAGAAGCCATCAGTTTTGGGTTTTTAGCTGTGGTACCAAGAGGTTAGGGTCACCATGTGGTTGATCCAGTTAATTGGGTGGCAACTTGCTATTTAAGCTCTCCTTACAAGAGACATTGCTGAAACATACTGAACATAAGTCAATATAAAGAAATCATTTTTAAACAGACTAGTGGATTTGTCTACATTTGCACATGGATATTTGAGAACATTATTTAAATGTCTTTCTCCAAAACTCTAATTTTTACGAATTAAAAATTTTAACAGCTAATGGTGGCCTCCAGAATTCATATTGATAAAAGATTATAATTAGTCATTTAATATGAATTATTAAATTTTAGCAATTGCACAATGTGATGCCAAAAAAAAACTTAAAAGATCTCATTTAGTAATGTCATGGTTATGCCAGTTCTAATTTCCTATATCTGGTGATATCATAAAATATTTATCAAGGATTCAATATTGGTTTCCTTAGACCTGGGAAATGCTGAATATGGCAACTGTTTAAACTTATTTTTAATCTTCACTGAAAAGGGAATAATAGAGCCAAGCTATAAAAACAAAGAAGCTTATTCTTAATAAATATACCAGAACTTGAGCATCCAAGTAAGTTTTAACTATTAAAATTGCCCTCTTAAGAGAATATATACATATTTGATATTGCCATCTTCAAAAATGTTCTTGGTATTCCTTCTTGTAATGGCCCTTAGAACCTATACACAGCATGTAAGACAATGTTTTCCTTGCTACCTTTATTTTGAAACTTGTTCCAAGTAGCTTTGAACTATTTCCAATGTGTGTGTATGTGCGGGGGGGGGGCGGGCAGTATATATGATGATTTTCAAAAGATGATAATTTTCCATGATTATTCATATTGACAATATTTTACTCTGTGAAGTACAACTCAAAAGTAATTTCAAGCAATGACATATTTTAGGGGGAAAAAAAGAACACAGATTTATGTCTGCTTTAAAGGAGTAACACTCATTAGGTGTCTATGTTCTGGTATATTCATCCGGGTGAGTCATTATAAGTTCCTTAAAGGTGGAGACCATGCTATTCCAATGTATAGTTCTCTAATCTCCCCATTGCATCCCAGCATAGCACTTGATGCTACTGCCTCAAATATGTTTGTTAAACTGAAGTGACTGGAACTTCCCTATCAGATAGATAGATAAATGATAGATCATATATTTAACATTTTATTTCCATTTTTTATGGATTAGGCAATATTTGTATTCATATGCACACTAATCTTTTTGATGATTTTCTATAAATCCAGGAATTATGCAATATAAGTCACAACAAACAGATCACTAAGGGGTTTAATAGATGAGCACTTTGTCCTATTTATATTGCTTTGCATATTTTAAGAATTCTTGCTAGTCACACTTCTTTCTGGGAAAAGAACTACAAGAGTTTATACCTAATATGGATCAACTGCAATGTGCTGTAAGTAGATACATAGTTCACATCTATATGGCCAACAAGATCAATGTTTGGCTAAAGACATTAGCTTCTATGTCATTAGAAGTCCAAATGAACCTGACCACACAAGATTGGTCCCTGTTATACTGTCTATCACTTATTTGGGCTAATTGATGACTAAATGGAACCGGCTATTTGTTGACAACATTTCATGCCTTGATGAGATTTACTGCAGGGTGACTGATCCATATTAAAGCATATACTAAAACAAAATGTCCTAACCTAACAAATCGAATAAATCTGGTAAAGTTTTAGATTAGATGAAGCAGTATTAAATTTGGGGAAGTATTGTATGTTACATATTTAATAGCAATGTGGTTTTAATGTTGCTTATATAATCCAGCAACTGAAAAGATGGAAGAAAATCTAAAACTGTTAAATTTATGTCTGCAGACTGGCATTCCTTGTTGTAAATTTTAAAGGAAAGTAAGAATCAGGAATATAGAATGATTTCAACAATGACTTTCTAAAATTAGATCAATTCAGATATTTTCAATCCGTAATTACATTTTCAATACATTCTTCCCAAAGTATTAGCAAATATACTTACAACCTAATAACTTGACCAATAACAGCATAGTTTTTATACAACAATAAACAAATGGCATGCTTAGGTTTCATCATTTGTCCAAATCCAATTCCTATAGATAAGATTCCATTTAGCACAGCTTGCAGGAGCACACCTTCGCTATCCACGAATGATGCCTTGGCTTACCTAGAAAGGAAACAGATTATCAGGTTATATCGTGAAATAAAGAAGAAAGAAAGAGGGAAGGAGGAAGAAAGCAAGAGAGGAATGGAAAAAGATGGAAGAATGAAAGGAAGAAAGGAATGAGAAAATAAATGAAGGAAGGACAGATTTACCTATAATTTCTTATCTCTTTTCTATCCTGAAATACAGTATGTTAAGATAATAAAAAATATTCTTATAAGCTAGGCTTCAAATAAATATATTTTAATTGCACACATTATTAATATAGGTTGTTTTTTCTTTAAATTGTCAACAAAGATGAAAGTTTTCAACAAGATGATTTGGGCCAAAAATTAATAAATTTCAAATTATCTCTGTTGCTCTAGGGAGAAACCCACAACCGCAATTTTAGGATCAAAGGTTATAAATGTTAGTTGAAAAATGGTTTGAATTACAGAATCAAAAAAGCATTTATTTCTCAGACTACTTGGATGATTGTTAATGTAGGCTAAAAAGTATCACTTGATCTAAATTACTTTGACTAGGAAACATATTGGAGCACTGTGCCTTAGTAAGCTATTTCTAAATACATTTATATTAATGACATGATCATGCGTAGTAACTCCCACTCCTACTGGCAAAGACTCAAAAAGCTAGTTATTTGTTTTATTTAAATATATATGTGTGTGTATAAGCCTAGAATTTTACATGTTTTAAAAATTATGAGGTTGATGCTTACATTTTTCCATTTGGGCAACTTTTTAAGAATGTTGATATTGTTCAACACAACTAGAAGAAAGGGTTTATGTGTTTTTACTACAGAAATTGTTCTTACTCCTTCTAGAACATTTTTTTTAGCACTAACCCTAAGAAGTGTGTTCTCGATAGCTATGATTGATGGGCTGCTCACACATTCCACATTTTTTCTGCTTCATGCATCATCATCAGCCATCTCCAACACTCCAGTCCTGAATCTGTCCTACTTTCTGTTACCTGATTTTTGCTGTTGATTCATGAGCTAGAATAGTAAAAGGAAAAAAAAAAACAACCCTTCGCCTTGGCTTTTCACAATGTAGTACATGCCCTGGAAACTGTGAGAAATCTAGTTTTGTTCATCAGATTCACGCAAATGCAATATTGATTGACAATGATGTATATAGATCTATACACATAATGTGCTATATAAAAACCACTAAAATGTTCTATTAATGGCAGAATGCATACTGATTATAAACTACTTCAGAATGATGTGAAAATGCTGATGTGAATGCCTTTTTTTTTTGGTACTTTCAAGCTCTCTCTTGTCACTACTACTTTCAGCTGAAGCTATGTTTAAGTGCACTGTCCCTAGTGCACTAGGAAGTAAAATTCTTAATTTTCCAAGACAGTAAGGTGATAAAAGCTCAAGGTCTCTCATTAACACTTGGATAAAAATTGTGAATGTCACACTAAATTTTTTATCATCATGAGTGCAAAGATGGGGGACAAGGAACACTTTTTATGATATTCGGGAGAATAGGAATTGAGCTTTAATCACTATGCATGAAGCAGTTAACAAGAACTTAACCAGCAAGAGACTGCACTAAACTATTTTTGTGATAGCATCTTTCAGATTCAGAAGTGATGAGGCTTTAAAGAGCCAAAGAAAGAAAGCCTAATGGCCCTAAAATCTGAAAAAAAGGGAGCTGTAAGTTCACAATGTTGTCTCGGTGCTTCTATTACTAGACATCAAAGTTATTCCCACAGGTTTTGGGAATGTATAAATGCCAGTGAAGAAGCAAGTAGACTTCACAGAGTGTAAGCCAGAAACTTCAATCTGGGATTCACCTGTGAGTCAAAACTCTTTGCTAATGAATTATTCCAGGGAAAAGACACTGCTAAGGGAGAACTTAACCTATCAGACAAGACCTCCAGGTTCACTAGCAGGGTCAGAGTGACAAGAATGCTCTGGTCTAAAGTTGCTTTGCCAACCTTAATGGACTGCAGGCACTCACCTGGGTATACAGCTTGAACCAAGAAAGAGATCACAATGGCATAAGGAATAGGTAGAGTGCTCTAGAGACCAGGTGAACAACCACTCTACCAGTCCTCTAAATTGTGACCTATATGCACATTCCGGCCCATTTACAAATGGGTCAGCCTTGTCAATTCAGTGCTGGAGAAGCAGTGATGTCAATGAAAAAATAAACAATCTGCAGATTGAGTTCAAAACCCTTTGCATTCAAAGATAATGCATAAAGTCAATCTTATTTTTTATATAAACTTAAAATTTTGATTTTATTAGACATTTTCAAATGTTGCATCAATGTTTAGAAAACTTTAACTTCCCCTTTAAAAAAGTAAACTATTATAGTTTTCTGTGCTTCAGTATCCCTTTGTTCTCTGCATATGCAAAGGAATTGGTATCAGCGATATGAAGCTCTAAAGGCAAAGGAAAATGATGTTCAGGGGATTTGCAAAGAAAAGATTTTATTCGGAAAGAACAATATATGAGGCAATATTCTTGAACTGTGCTTGGATGGGAAAATGATTTTTTGTTTTCATTTTCTATATGCCGTTTGAACAACTGGTTTGTTCATTAAAAATGATGTAATAAATTTTTTGGTCATTTAGAGTTGCATAGATAAAACCATGTAAGGTCAATAACCATTAAAGCTAGGAGACTGACCACATTCAACTTTGTAACGGGGGGATTTTGCGCATACATGAAAATATTAAAAGGACTTTTAAGTGAACAATAATACGCCAGGTGAAAATGGTAAGAACGATGCGTTCAGGTTTAGATGCACTCCTGTCCATATAAGGAATAACAGATATACCAATGCAATTAGAAGCTCAGCTACTGAAGCACCTCTATTGGTCTGACGACACCTTCCCAAAGCTTATCCCTTAAAACCCCCAAATTTGCCTTCTTTTCTAACGAAGGTGGTTAATGTGCTTTCCAAAGGAACCCCACTCATACCTGGTAAACAGAGGTAACTCAACCACCAAAGTAACATTTATAGTTTTGGAGCCTCTCCCTTTGAATGGCTTGGTATTTTTTTAGTTCATTTTTGGACACTGAGACGTGGACAGTCATATTTTCATGGTTCAGGAAAGTCCCTCTACGCCACCAATTTCACAAACCTTCCTTCGGGTTCAGTTTTAAGAATTTTCCCCCTCAAATGCTCATACTTCAAGGAAATGCACTCTCTCATCAAAATCTTTCTTACTAAACAAGCACCTCTGTCAGAAGTGTCTTAATTTCTTATCACAGAATTTTATCCACACAAGGAGCAATAAATAATTCATGTCATTGCCTCTTTGTTGTGTGTCCCTGAACTGCACAGAGCTGGAAGGCTGACAGCTGTGTCAGGACAAGCACCAAAGATCTGACATGACAAGTGACTAACAAGTTTCTTTGAGTTCATAGTGAAAGAAGACAATGGCCCAAAGTGCAGAAAGAAATCCTGAAACAAAATAAAACTGCTTCTTTCTTTTTACCTAAGTGTTTGCTATGAGCTTATTTCCAACCCACAAGCCCTGGTCATTTTATAGGACTGCCCAGCCCCCTTTATTCCTCACATTCGCTTGGCCATTTACGCCTGGCCACAGATCAATATGAGCAATTCTTGGAGAAATACGATGTCTCCATGACAACCAAGCCACAAATTCTCAGTGGAAGGCAGTGAGACCAGTAGTGAACTCTCCAGAGGTTTCTAGGCCTATAAGGCAAGATGTCTTAAAATGCAGGAATGGACAGAGGAAAAAGCCAGAGTAATTCATTCTTTATTACCAGTTTAATGATGTCCGATGTACAGAACAGTACTCACTTTTTAAGTTAAGATTCTTTATCAGTACCTATCTTTTCTAATTAATCTTCGTTTTGATAATACCCTTTTGTTTATATCAATCAGATAAACTATGGAATATTTGAATTTTACTACAATTCCACTCATTGAGGGATGCCTGAAATGTATTCTACTTTTGAGATGACATAAAGCCAATCTTTTCTTGCCAAAAACAATGAACACTTAGGTGAAAACTTGACTCAGGGATTTAACTGCCTTGGGTTGATAGGAAACTGTTTATGAAGACAGTTTAAAAATCTAGTCAAAAGTAGGTAATTTTTGTCAAAACTAAAAGCAATTTTAAAACACTTTGATGGGCATTTAATGCTACCAGCACCCTCTCCCTTTTGGAGTGGGACTAACCTACATTTGTTTCTTAGATATTAGGGCAGGAGGTGGGGTTCACGTTCTGATTAAAAATTTCTGTCGGCGAGAAAGAGGCCATTTCTCAGTTCCATGGGATGCCAAAGCAGAAGTGTGGTTGAGAAGAGACACACGGCAGCAGTACATCTTTTGAGGAATCTTGGCGTAGTGGAGGGAACTGAAATACAATGCCATCGCCACCGGGCCTATTGGGGTTCCGAGATGACTTAGGGGACCTGACATAGATTGCAGGCTGCACCTTTCACTGAAAATTAAATCTCAGTAGCTCTCCTCGGGGAAGGATCAGGGGACTGTTTGCAGCTGCCCCCTGTCAGCGAAGGCTACAAGATTTGGAAATCTCTTAACTAAGCTGACAGGCCACAGAGAGGATGAATCAAAAATCTGATACAAGGATCAGCACACAAAGATGCAGGAGGGTCGAGGGCACACAGCAGCCAGAGAAAACAGGAAAGGAAAGCGTTCCTTGGGAGAAGAGAATTAACTCTTTCACTCATGGTGATAAGGAAACTTCTAGCACCTTATGGCTTTGTAGTGATCCGGACATGTCATTCAACTTTCACAGGATTTTTTTTCTCTTTTGATTAATTAGTTTGTTAAAGACTAGGCATGTTTTGAAACAAGACAAAAACAGAAACAAAAATCCATGCTTAAGTGTTTCTGGCTCTATCCTTCTGCTACATTTCTGTCTATTCTCTCTACAAAGAAAACACAAACCTAAGTAACTTGGGATGTGGGTAAATTTTATGGCATGAGGAAGGGTTATCACTTTCTTTTGTTCTGTTTGTTCTCAGTAGTTGACGTATCCATGAGTCCGTTACCGTTATGCTAAAATCCTTTAGTCCCTGTTAGAGAGCTGGTTGTATTTAGAAAGGTGAATAGACTGTAATGATGGCAGTCTGTGTCTAACTTTCCACTTCCGCTCAATCCCATTATTTGAAATATTTAAAATGCTGCCATTTCTCCAGTTTTCAATCTCGGCCTCTATGAACCAGTTTAGCCTAAAATTGATGATAATGAACTAATAGTGTCAGCTTCCCTTCTCAGTCATAAAGCCTTTGTACTTCCTCCAACTGAATCCTTGATGAAAGAGGCAAAGGTAACAGCTCCACACTGTGACCCCTGGAGGTGACCATTAATTTGATAGCGCAGCTGCTAAGAGAAAACAGCATTACAATGTCCTCCCCGCGACCCCCTTCCAAGGACCCCAAAGCTGTGTCAAATTTATCATTTTATACTTGACTATTTTTAAGTGGCTTTCACCTGGACTCTCAGACTCTTCCAAGACGCATCTGTCAGGCATGTCCTCAGTGGCTTGGAAGTTTGCCGAGTTTGAGTTGCTGTCATGCTTGACCGGACTGACTGGGGCTATTAAAAAGAGAGAGAGAGAGAGAGAAAAGAGAGAGAGAGCGATGAAAAAGTAGTAATAAACACCATTAAAACATTTCCTTTCAGTTCCACAGATATTTCCAGGGACACACTATGTAAACACAAATAATAAATTGAAATAAAATGTATCCTCTAAGTATGTATTGGCAGACATATAATTAGTTGAAAAATCTATAGATGAGACTTTATCTTACAAGAAAAATAAGTTCATGGCGTCAGCTTAAAAGCTACAAAGTAACAAAGTGATCCCTCCAAAGTAGAAATCATATTTTTAATGCATAAATCTAAAACAATATCATCAATTAACAGCCATGGGACACAGACAAAGAACATGGGGCTGGTCAGTTAAAAAGAGCAGCTCTGCATGGGTGCTGTGGTTCGTCTTGTCACACAAATCACAGCTGATGAACACTTTCTATAAATTTTGTTTCTCCTTCATCAAATGAGAAACTCCAAACACCAAAAATAAATAAATAAATAAAAGCCCTATGTAAATAAAATTTAAAGTACACAATAGTTGGCAAATGATTAATAAGTAGGGCCAATGTTTTGAATGGTGACTTCAGACAATCTGTCATCATCTTCTGAGTATGAATTATGAACAGAAATGGGAATGAGCACAGAAATCTGAAACTTTCTATAAACACATAACACCTCTAGCTCTGTTAGAGAAACAGACTCAAGTTTCCACATTTTTGCCCAAGTTGTAATACTTGGTCTCAATTATCTCCGTAAGTAACATATTTCCATATTCTATTCATTCAAGGAATCACTTGTGGGGAAAAGTGGACATTGTCTTCATGAAAAAAAGTCAGTGAATAACAAAACAAAGCAAGACCACAATAATATAAATTATGTCATACTTACTTGTATGAAGCCAAACTACATAAATATGTATATTATTGACTACTGCTAATTTTATCTATTGAAAATTGCTGCAGTAAACACTACTACTGTCTCTTCAGGTCTTGATAACACACACAACATATTATTTATAGGCCATAAATGCAAACAAGAAAATATATAAGCCATACATGAAATGATATGTTTGTTGGCACAGGGGAGTAGGTCTGGCCACTGTTCCTAAACCACCATTAAAAAAAACAAACAAAAAAAAGAAGATAGCAGGAGGGGAAGAATGAAGGGGGGGAAATCGGAGGGGGAACTGAACCATGAGAGACGATGGACTCTGAAAAACAAACTGAGGGTTCTAGAGGGGAGGAGGGTGGGGGGATGGGTTAGCCTGGTGATGGGTATTAAAGAGGGCACATGGGTGTTATGCACAAACGATGAATTATGGAGCACTACATCAAAAACTAATGATGTAATGTATGGTGATTAACATAACAATAAAAAAATTTAAAGAAAAAAATTAAAAAAAAAAGAAATGATGGAGCAAAGTCTGGAGGCTGTGTCACTTCACACACATACTCGGTAAGTGACACAAAGGAACGCCTCCCAAGGTCCAAAGCAGCATGAGCAGAGCCCACGCCTCTCACATTCCTCATCTTATTTCCACAGAGTAGCATTGGTGGTCATAACCTGAAGCCCACAATATACACACTTTAAAGGAGACTAGGAACATAATTTCGGTCCAAATATTCTCATAAGTTTCACCAATCCTCTCAGAACACAGGTAGTTCTCCTCTGTTCTCTGAAAGTGTGTGCACAGACTTTGAATTCACTTCTCTGAAACCTTTTATCTGAGAACAAAACATGGGAAAAATGTATGAAATTCTGGCATTTAAATTTTCAAAAAAAAAAAAATGGAAGTAGGTACCATCTCTGTTTTATATACCTCTCTCTGCCCTGGGCCATAGGAGGTATTCTCTAAAAGACTTGTGGAATGAATGAGTGAACGAGTGAGTGAAGCAGACGGATCATGCTAGATGTCCTCCTGATCTGAGAGGGTATGTGCTTTGAATCATCTTCAACTAAATCCAATCAGTTCTTGATTAGGCCCACTTGAGAGTACAAAGGGTGCCTATTTGTAAAATGGTGGTGCAAGTTAGTCTCTAATTTGGAGGACACATATAGCCTAAGTAGTTATTGGTGTAGCTGCCTTTAATTTAATTTTCCTCAGTTTAGATCATACTTACAGATTATTTTGGAATCCACTGATTTTTATAACACGTTGAAGTGGATAATTAAATGCACCAAAGTTGCAGACACTGGTCAAGATTTACTGGACTGTCTTAATAATGTTTTTATTTCTATATATCTTATTAATTTTCTGAAATATTTACATTGATATTTATCATAGGGAATGAATCATACAGCTGAATCTATTAACAGCCAGTGAGTTAACACCTGTGTTTATTTGGGCAAATGCATTGCACTTGTCCCATATACTGTTCTTTTAAAACTCTCATCCCCTCATTCATTTACTTATTCTTCCAGCAAGACTCTGTTCTAGATGTAGAGCCCTCAAGAAGGAAGACAGCATGGTATTAAAACAACAAAGTAAATGCCTGTAACAATTTCTAGTGGCAAAAAAAGTGGTCCCAGCATGAACTGACAGCCCAAGCCTCTCAAAAAAGTCAGAAAGCTAGGTGTAGTTGTAGCTGCACGATCTTCATTAGACTCACACTAGTAGGTACCATGCCGCTCTTTTTGTATCTACCTCGGATTTTGGAGGGTGTCATTTGTGGGGGGATAGGAGAGTAGAAAGGGTTAGCCTTCAGATATTTTGCTTAATTACATTTTAACTTCCAAATTTGAGAGGGTACAAGATTTCTCATTTTTACTGGCTAATTTATAGAGTATTCGGTTAAATTTACTATAGAAGAAATACCTACCTTCTGTCAATTGGGACCAGCTGACATTGGAGAGGTTAATCATTGCCACTCCACTTTTTTTTTTTTTTTTTTGATAAGCTAATCTTTGCTGTTGTTCTTTTGGGTGTTTTCTGTGATGTTTCATCATTAAACTCGGACAATAATGAATCATTTCAAAAAATAATGAAATCAACAAATACTGATCTAGTGTTTATTATGGGTAGAGGTCTGTGATAGACTATGCGAGGCGTAAAAAAATTAAAAAAATTAAAGGCACTTTTAATGTGCCCTCATACAACTTGTTGTATGTATGTATGTATGTTGTATGTACCTCAACTAGTTGAGGTACAATGAAAAGTAGTAGGAACACTAGAGGCAATATTCCAAGAATGACATAGTTTTTAGGAATGCAGAAGTAATTCTCCTGTAGTAGGGGGATTGGGAAGTGAATTTTGAATTAGATCTCCTTGAAAAGGTATATGGGTAGCCCAAAGGGAGCTCATTCAAGGCAAAAGAAAAAAGGTGTAAACCCAGGCATGGTCAAAAAAATACATTAGCCTAGTGCCACACATGTATTTAACAGAATGTTGCTGCCTACTTTTGTATGCATTTTTAATGAATTCTCCTAACGTGTCTCTTTGAGCTTTTCCTAAATTGCTGTTGTGGCTAATTCTTCTCACCTGTAGAAGTTAGCTATAGACAGGTTTTTCCTTGCCCTAAATAGTCAATAATTTGATCTTTACTGATGGTGGGCCCATTTATCACAGTAAGTTGTCCTTTCACTATACATATTGACTTTTATTTATCGATACCAAAGTCCATTTGTAGCTCATCACTAAAGTTCTTGGATATTTTCAGTAGTTTTTGAAGATGCATTTTAAAGCTTGGCAGAGAGATAACTTCTGACATCAATATAGTGCAAATGATTGTTAGGTTCATCCTTAAAATCAACTGTTTATTTCATCTGTAATGGATTCTGAAATAGTCCACATTTGGGGGATGAGAAGCAAAAAAGACACACTCTTTTTGACAGTTCTACCACCAAAAGATGTAAGGCTCTTCCATTTACTCTTCACACACCTTAAAATATTGACAACTGAAGGGCCAATGTTCTAAATATCTTTGTAATATCTTTAATAGCTAAATAGAAAAGTCCATGTACTTTGTATGGATGTATTCAACTATGCTGTGTTTAACTATGACTATAATTCTAGATCCTAAAGAAATGAATAGTTCAACGGCAGAAGAAACCCAGAGGATTGTATGACAAAGACACTATAGAAAGACCTACTGTAGGACAATGTGATAACAGGGTCATCAGTGGTTACGCTCCTTCATCTCCGTCTATTCTCTAATTTGGTTTCAGTTAACCTTTAAAAATTCCCACCTTCCCTTTGTCATCGTTTGCAGAAAGATGGTATTAGTTTTTAAACGTGGCTAGGCTTAGGCAACAAACAATTCCAAGAACTATTCCCCCTGACCCCAAGAAGAGAATGACCACTGAAAAATGTCCATTCACCTCCACAAACAGCAGCTAGTTCTTCCAAGTAAGCCAGTTCTGTAGACTAAATAGAGCCCTTGTTAAAGATCCATGTCATTTACAGTGTAAATAAAATCTGCACTACAAATAATGTTTTCAATACAATGACTTATGAATGATTTAAAAACAGATCCCATCCATCACATGTATGGACTTTTTGGAAGTATTGGGGATATTTATAGAAAACCATTAATAAAAAATATAACAGTTTGAAATGTTGGTCTGAATAGGATAAACCACTGTAGTAGCAGATAAAACTCAGACAAAAATCTTAATCACATCTTATTCAAGGGCATAAAGTAATGTACAGGTTGCAGAAGTCAGGGAAAACTAAAAGCTGGCTCAGATTTGTGGAAAGAGCAGTGGAGAAGAAGTCAAACACCTGAGTTCAAATCTACTAGCTCAATACTATGGCCAAGAGTTGATCACTTTCTCGCTTGATCATTTAGGTCTCTTTTCAATCTTAAGGCATCACTATGAATCAGCTAAAAAAACAAACAAACAAACAAAAAACTTTCTACAGGCTTAGAAGAAAGAAAAACTACATTAAATTCAAGAAGTAAATACTAATGCAATACTCACAGATCACCAAAGACTGCAGTATATTTTAAATTAGAGGGAGACAAGTCAGTGAAAAGACTTGAAGTGGTAACACCACGTTT